TTTTTTATATTCATTATATTATAAAAATACTTTGTGATTCAATATCAAATTGTAAGACATGCAACAGTTGAGACTTGAAAAAATTCATTCGATACAAACTAATCTGATCGGTGCAAGATTAACAAGCATGATAGAATTATTCACGAATAATTTTAGACAGATATTAGTAATTTTTTTAACATAATCAGAGTTCAAAATGTAATACGTATAACATCTCAAACAAAGGCGAGAGCGCCGTTTATACGGCTGTAAATATTGAGGACTCATAAAATTTTTAAAACCTTCTAAAATTTCATGCAATTGACTGAAATTCGTTGAAGTCTCGACATTCACACTTCTAATTTTGATAGTAAATATCTTGAAAAAGTTCCAAATTTCACCGTGAGATGGTTTCTAAAAAATTATAACTAAATTGATAACCTGTAGTTGATCATTATAATGACTATCAAATGAACTTTTCAACAATCACATTGTTACATTCCAATATACAATCAAAAATAGTAACCTTACAGAAAATATTTTAATTTTCTATACATTGTTTGACATTTCATCAATATCTCTTAGTTTTTCTATACATCAATATACTTTAGGAAAAAATAGAAGTATGTTTTTTTTTCTCTTTAATCATAGGTATAAAAGATTTGTCTAATATAAGATATAAGTGTTTACCCTTAGAGCAATCATTTGAAGTAATCAAGCTTGTATGACTACCTCGATTTTCGCATCGAGTGAGTGAATTCAAAGAATGGTACATCATTTAACCATACTTAAGCATATTTATAACGGTGAGAACAAACACCAAGGTTTAGTCTATAATTACGATACATTTTCGTTTTTGCTGATAGAAAACTTCGTAAGTAATACTGTCTTATCATCAGCTATGTTCTTCTCATCAGAAACAAGATTGATTCCTGTATTTTTTTCGAAATCGAATCGATTGTATCTCTGCTTTTTACCTGCAACTCATCAAAATTTATTCAAGTTTTAATATCTCGTCATGTATCTTCATTTTCAACAAAATGAATCTTAAGATTAAAAAAGAACACGATTTCTTTTCTTGTCTCTTCTTCTTTTTCGTATATTTCCATTCCTTATTTAATAATAAATCAACTGAAGAAAAGGATTGCACAAAAAAGAATCACACGCCGGGGTTATTCCAATTTTAAATAATTGTTTAATTCTGTTTGATTGTCTTATATTGTTGCCAACTATTTAATAAAATATTAGCCATATATAAACTGAATGCATGTATTTGCACCATTATTATTAAAAATATATACCAAAGTACTAATAATGGAAAGCCAAGAAATGTTTGTGGTTCAACTTCATCTAATTGATGATTAGATTTTAATTTTTTGAAAGTAAATAAATCACTTAAATTGAGTATAATTGTTGTCATAATTGTACCTAAACCAAATGTAACTGTACCACGATAAAATAATTTCATTAAAAAAACATTATTTTTATTCATTGATAGAAGACCACATATTGATGGTAGAATAGTAATGACCCATACGTATTGCCATAAATGTGGTCGTGGAACATTTACTGTTTTTATTAATCGTATATGATATGTTATTATTTGAAAAAGAACAAGAAAAGCAAGAACAAAATGAAGATAAATTAATAATCGAAGACGTGATTTTGTTTCTGCACTAACACGATAATGTGTAGCTATACGTTCACGATGACGAAAATCACTTCCATCAGTACCATCAACACGTTTTGAACCTGGAAGAGACATCTGAAATAAAAAAAAAAAACAGACAGAAATTTTATATTGAATTATTGCACTAAAAAAATCATCATAAATAAAACAAAAAGAAAGCAAAGAAATCGTTTCTTTTTTTTTTCATTTTGACTTGCATTTAAATGCGTTTTGTACCATAATGTTGTGTATCATTCGTTGTAATTTTATTCATATCATATGACATACCATCACCAAATGGTTGGGATGATATAAGAGGAGTAAATAATATTAAATACCATCGTTTACCAAAAACAAGTTGTAAATTTGATTGAAAACTCTTTCCAATATTATATATATGAATATTTTTATTATATTCATACCATGTTTGACTATTTTTTACAAGAATAATTTGCTGAATTATTAAAAATAAGACATAAAGATTTATAATAATTGATGTTGAACAAATGCATGAAAGTAAAAGAGAAAAATGATTGACAAGACTAAATAACCATGCACCGAATGGAAATAGACATGCTAAAATGTAAAATTAAGAAATAATTTTTCATTAAAACAAAACTTAGTATAGAGCATGTTAATGCCTATAAATCTATATCCGGATAAAAATGATATTAGATCTATCTGGCACTTTATAGAACTTTTTCAATTTCGCTAACTAATCTATCATTAAGGATTTCATGAGCGACTTCCTTAAAGCTAAAAACTATGATATTAGTGGATCTATCGAAAGCACATAAGATACTCAATACGAAAAAAATTAATTTTTGATTTTTAATTCAAAAGAAAAGATGCAAGTCCTCCTAGACCTAAGCCCAACTACAGATCTGATCAAATCTGGATTCAAAGTTTTCTTTTTTTGTCGAGTCTGGCTCTATATTCAGATTAAGTTTCAGAACCAATTTGGATTCTGCATCTAATCTAAATAGAGAAGATCCATAATCATCCTATTATACACTCTTTTTTCAAGTATAATACCTTTGACTTAAATGCAACTAAAACTCTACTATATGACTGATAATTTGACAATTTTAATAATAAATCTTGTTGAATCGAACTTTCACTGTTTTTCGCGTTTGAGATTACTACAAATTAATTCTATTTGATATTAGCTATAAAAGAATGTTTCTTCTTCATGTTCAAGAGATCTTGGTGGAAAATCGCTTATTCGACTATATTTGTTGAGGCATTTACTTCTACACGATCATTCGTGATAAAAGATTTCGCTTGAAAAATTTCCAGAGAACATATCAATTTAAAAAAGCTCTAGTTCAATTAATTATAAGAGAAGAAATAAAAATTATATCGTGATAAAAAATTTGCCATTTTTTTCTTAATATGAATTCGAAAAAAAAATCTTGCATCTTTCCTATCTAACAACAGAACTAATCATATACTTTTAACATTTTCTATTACTTTCACTAGAGAAGGTTATTCTACTAATAATAATAATCAATCAATTCTTTGCAAGGATATAATCTAAAAAAATCACTACAGATACTACATCTAAGAACAAAATTCAAATTTTTATTTGTATGAAACACAATCTTGAAGGAATATTAAAATATAGGGATACAACTTAGGACGAACTCTTCTCCATAAATGTGTTAATATGAAATACAGTTAAATTTAAGATCGTTGTCATTTACTTTTTCTTTCACAATGAAATGTCATATCTTATGATTATCATCTTTCAATATCTACATACATTGACAGTGAGTAGTATTGTCAAGATTAAAACATATGTTGATGAATTCTCTCTTTTACAATGTCAGCAGTTCCATCATGTTTCACATTTGAATCCCGCAGGGATTGTCATTAATAGCTTTTTAACTAAAGAGATATGCTCTAAGACGTAATGCTTGCAGATATATATATATCACCTTTCGCTGATACTATTTATCATGCAATTAACTTACCAATCATAACACGCCATGAAAAAGTTCCAACAAGTTCATAAGTATAATCCATATGAAGAATATTACAATAGACTAAACCAATCTGAAAAATAAAATTTTATTGAATTAATAAAATAAAACAAAATTCAAACTCTTTTTGTTTTTTTACCCAAGTCCAAATAAGAAAACATATGTAATAACGAATATTTTTAAAACCAATACATCGTCCAAGAAAAGTACAATGATGATCACGTTTTAAAATACATATTTTACATAAATGACAATGTTGTGATCGTGGTGGAACATTTATTTCACAATCATGACAATAATGCCAATTGCAATGATAATAAATAATGTCTTGTTGAGTTTTTTCTCTTGATATTGGAGTTACTACTGCTGATGGTAATAAAACAGGACAAATTATTGTATCAACAGATGTATCCGTAACCATACATAAATATAAATTTCCAATTAAATTAAAAATAACATAACAACCAAATATAAGATGAAAAATTTCTTTATAAGTAAATATATTATGATAAATTGTTGGTAATATAACATATAATTCAAACATAACATACGCACAAATAAGAAATATTGTAAAAAATAATGGAATAAATTCACCACGATCTTTAGGTATCAGAAGTTTTACTCGACGATTAGTCATTCTTTCTTAAAAATCTAAAATAAATGAACAAAAAATGTCGAACATTTTCATTATTAATCGTATGTATTGTCGTTTTTCAAGAACTCTTACAGTTCATTGAAAGAAAGAAAAAAGGATAGTATTAGCTCCCTCTATTTACTATTAAACGACATTGGCCTGGCAAAATCTGCTGTATTTGTTATTATAAAATGTTCTTTGGAAATTCTGATCTTATTCCCAATAGGTCATAATAAATTTTCTTAAGTAAGGAAAATTTCGAAAAGAAAAACAAATCATATTAATAATAATCTACCAAAAATATGGTTAATTATTGTGTTTCTTTTATCTTTCTTGTATATGCAAACAAAACAGACGACAACAACCATGATGATGTTTCAGACAAAACACACATAAAGGAAGAAAAGACAAAAATACCCTTAGAAAAGCCAAGCGAATGAGATGTTTAACGGTGATAATATAACGACCAAAATAATTGTGCGAGAAAGCACGATTTGCATCTTCATTAAATAATATAAAGAAATAGCAGAAAAGAAGAAAAGAAAAAGAAACAATGTATACACAAAACAAACAAATACACACAAATGTTTACGAATAAGGAAAAACATTGATTCAAAAAGAGAACTCTATGCATGATATGATAATCTAAAAATATAGATGGATGTTGTCATCATTCTTTTTTTTTTCTAATAAATCTTGTTAAATATTTATATATATATAATATATGTATATATTAATTGTTATTTGTCGAATGTGTTGGTAAACAAAAATCTTGAGCATTAGGATCGAGATTGGATGTAGCATTTTGTAATGGTAATGGCGGTGGTGTTATAGTTGTTGGAGGTGAATAAAAAACTGATGATGAACTCGTTGTTGGATTATTATTTGTATCAATTAATTGATTTGTTGGTGATGAATGTCCAGATGCTTGAGGATGACCATTAAATAAACAATTATTTACTTGATGTTGGGAATGAAGTGCAGCAATTAATTCACGTTCTTTCTCTCGTATGGCATCTAAAAAAAAAAAATCATTGAAAAATTTTTTGTTAGATTTTGAAAATTTTTAACAATACAAACTATTGGCTATTTCAAGTTGTCGTTTAACTTCACCAAGTGCAGAAAATAGATCAAGTTTAATCCGTGTTTCAGCACTAAGACTATCTTGTAAATGAGCATTTCGTTCTTGTAATTGTGTTAAATGTTGATAGAGTACTTCAGTATCCGCTTGAGATTCTCGATATTTTAAAAGAGTCTAAAAATCATATTCAAAAATTTTTATTCAATAACATGTTGATTAAAAAAATAAAAATAAAAATTGAATGTCTTTTATTGTTATATTTTGAAAGCAAATAATTTGATTTCATGTTCAAATAGATTTCTCACTATGCATCTATTTCATAGATTAATAATTATTTCAGGAGTAATAGTTCTTTATTATAGCGTGTGACCTTGAATTATATTAGAACAAATTCAACACTAGAAACTTTAGTAGAGCTTTATGACAAATCAGTCGATATATTCTTCTTAAAGATTAATTGCAATCAGAAGAATTAATCGCTTGAGGACAAGAAATCCATCTTTAGATAACGATTACGGATTAGTTCGTAACGAAGTTATGTTGTTGATGGTACTATCGAGTCGTGCTTCCGTCAGTTTTGCTTCTATAGTTTTTGATAATGTCAAGGATTATTATTAATATTAGAGAAAAAAATCAAGAATAATGACTGGCTTTATACTCCAAGAAGTGTGTAGTATCAAAAATTTGTTTATTACTTTATCCATCGTCGCATATTAATACATATTTATATTTGCAGATGGTCATATAATATCTCATGATTCAGAAAGGGTGTGACTAGAAGGTGTGTCCATGATATATATATAGACAACATTTCTATTTACTCAAGAAATTTCTAAAAGAACATTGGATAAAAAAGGCATACTTGATAAAACAAGATATTTGCTTCGTGAAGGAGTCTTTTGAAACTACTAATATACTACTACTACTATTGTATCTGTCACTTCTGATATAATTTGATTCTAGTATTTATATAATTCTATCATCGATCTTCTTTCATTGTATATAATTGTCTTGTAGTAGAGAAATACTTTGACGCGACTTTATGATATACAGCTTAGATGAATGATTTTTGATTTAGTCTAAAAAGCTGCTTACTTTATGAGTTTTTTAAAGATATTAAAGCTCAAAGCCACAAAAAAATAAACATATTCGAATGGAAAATATTGATATGAGTTATATTTATGTGGGAAACTAATTAATTAAAAGGAGTCTTGTATTACGAGAAAAAATTTAGTTCGTAAAATATTGATATACCTTAATTTCATTGTCAAGTAATTTAATACGTTCGTCTTTGTCATTAAGTAATTTACGTATTTCTCGTGTTTCATTCTCTTGATCTCGTCTTCGCTTGATACATTGTTCTGTACATTCACTTCTAAATAACAAAATCTAAATAAAATCTAAAAATATAATCAATCATAAAACAAACTTCGGTGGTGTTAAATTTAATTTTGCCAAATCATCTTGAAGTTTTTTTGTCAATGTTTTTTCTGTCTTTATTTGTGATTCTAATCGTTGTTTAGTTTGTTTTTCGTCATTGACATTTTTTTCAAGATCAGTTATACGTTGTTTATCACGATTTCGTTGAGTATTAATTGATTCATATCTAATAATAAGATAAGATAAATAATAGAATATATTTTCAATATATAAAAATTAAATGTAATATACTTTGCTTGTAATGCTGAATTTTCTACACGTAAATCCTCAAGATCTTTGCGGACATTTTTCAAGTCAGATAATTGTGTACGTAATTGTATTTCGGAATTTTTTTGCTTTTCAATTGATTGATTTAGTCGTTGAATATCACCTTCAAGTTTATTTATTTGAAAACTAAAAACAAAATAAAAATATTACATAATAATTTCATTAAAAACGAATCTTTATTAAATGGTAAAATTCAAATTTTGTAGATTTGTATTGATTACAAGGTTTACTATTTTGATTTTTGCTTAGATTTTGTGATAGTATTTGCGAAAAAGAAATAGTCTACATTCTCATTTAATTTTTTCTAGAATATGTTAATCCATTGTTTTCTCAATATTTGTATGAATTTTGAATTTGTTACAGTTTGTATTCTATTCATTGATATCTAACAGTCTGGAAAGATTGAAAAATCCTGAAAAAGGAACGAAAATCTTGTTATCTTTTCTTCAAACTGTTACTAATAAACTAAATTAATTGATATTAGTTTAGAGAATATATCTGCAACGGTATCAGTATCGTTCTTGTTCTGAATGATTAATTGTTCTAACAACGATTTAACATTCTCTATCACAGATGTTCAATCTGTTGAATGGAATTTCATTTAATATAATAGAATATAGTCGTATTTAATGTTAGAAATGAAAGAAAGTCATTGGAAACTGATCAATGACTTGATATAGTCGAGTAAATAAGTGATACGAATCATATGATGAGTCAAATAGAAAAAATATAATCTCAAGTAGATATTTGCATATTATAACAGACATCAATCTTCAATATGGGTAAATTTTTTGATGAATCCAAACGAGCTTTCTCTCGAAATTGACAAAAAAAAAGAAACTTGTCTCATAAAGAATTGCTGTTTGTCTTATTTGAAGTTTGACTGCGATCAACTTATTGTGACTTGACCAGAGCTCGTTGGATCCGGATTTGAAACAGACTAAAAATGTTCCGTTGAAATATTTTAATCTGAGTCTGACAGTCGTTTCGAATATGCGAAATATATTTTATCAATTTTTTTTATATTACTGATGACATACACTAAGCATTTCTCAGATAATCTGGTCGAGGATTTTATAATAATCAAGTTACAATTAACTTTTTATTTGTATGGTATGACATGTTAAGTCGGTTCCGCACCTGGTCAACAAAAAGTTTTCAGAGGCACAATTTGGCGAAAAATCTTTAAAAAAAAATTCAAGATTTATCCTATGGTGAAACCTCTCGTCTCTTTTTTTTTTTGTTAGTGTAATTACTTTTTGTCGATATCTGAATTTTCGATCGATATATTTGTTGCAAATCCATTATTATATGATGAAGATGAATCTCTTGATGTAGCACGTATCTGTTCTCTTTCTTGTTTCTTTTGTTGTCTTCGACTTTGTGTATTCTGTGCATTGGAAGATTTGATTAACTGTTTTTTCTGTTGTTTATATGTCGATGATAAATCATCATCATTTCCATTTGAAATTTTATTATTACGTGTTGTTGTTGTTGTTGTTGTCTGTACAAGTGAATTCGTAGATAATAGATCATCATTATTATTTAGTTTTTGTGGACGTTTTGATACTGTACAAGGTAATGATGTTGAATGATTAGTTAAATGTGTTTGAGAATTAATCAGTGTTGAATTAGTCGTTAGAGGATTTGAGTTAGTTACTGATGTCATTTGAGAAGGTGATGATGATGATGATGGATAATTTCCATCGATATTTGTTTGATTTGTACATTCATCAAAGGTTTCAGTAAATGTACCTTTAATAAATAAATGAATAAAATTTTGAGCAATAAAAGAAAATTAATGACAAACCCTTCTCTCGACTTAATTTTTCTTTTTCAACTTCTTGTTGAACTTCAATTGGTAATGCTTGATTAACTAATTGAACATATGATTCATTTATTTTTCTTACTTCACGTTGTTTTCTCTATTAAAATCAAGACAACAAAAGATTAAGTTCAATTTTTAACTTTTAAATTCTTCTTACCAATCTCCATTTATAAGCAAGATAAGTTTTAAAACCAAATCCCAATGTCACCATTGGATAACCAATACTAAAAATTTAAAAACAAAAAATAATTCTTAAGAAAAAACAAACAGACACTAAAATATTCATTACCAATGAGCGGCAAATGGTCGACAAAGATCAATAGTTTTAATTTCACGTAATCGTACTGATGCTTCAAGCCAAACAAACAATACCCACAGAACAACAGTACCCAGACAGATACCACGTTCTATTAAACAAAATAAATCTGAACGAAATTCTTAATTTTTTAAATTAACCTGTTTGCCAAACATATTGTATCCATACATAGCTACTTGCAGCAAAAAATAGCCATTGAATAGGTAATATTATATAACAAATAAGATCGGCTATGAATGCAATAAGTACAAAGAATAATGAGAAAAGCTAAAAAACAAAACAAAATAGTTTATATGATTGAATGATTCATTTTGTTAGACTCTTGTTCTTTACCAATCCTTGGTATTTAAATGAATCATAAATACTTCGCAAAACGAGCCAAAATGGCCAAAGAAATTCGAAGCGAAATTCAAGTAAATAATCAGCTGCCATTATAATACCCCAAATACAAATAAATTTGAGATACACTAATGCACTAATATATATACATACATACAGAATTATATATATAAGAAAATATATCGTTTTTTTCACTTCGTTACCTTCCGTAAATGCCCTCAGTAAGACGAGAGCGTCGAATAGATTTCCTTATTTTTATACTGTCCAAATTCGTTCGTCGTTTCATTATTGTAGCTCAGCACAAAAGATAATATTGTCATAGACTAAAACTAAAAGAAAAAAAAATAGAAAGGAATTCTATTTTTAATTGAACGGCATTAAGAATTTTTTTTAGAAATACTGATGGATAGGTCGTAACAGAGCAAGATGAAAAAGACGACATGAACGTGAGCTCTGTGGCTCTATGTTTGATGAAAGAGTTAGCGCATATTTATTACCAGTAGATGTCACCAAAGAACAGAACCAAAGGAAGTAAACCTGTTAAGTGCGCCTATTTCTTATGTTTTTTTTTGCCTCGAATTATGAAGACAAACGTTAAAATACTTCAAACAGCTGTATCTATAAAAGCTGAAAGATAAACACTGAATTTAAATGTAAAATGCGAAGCAAATTACATTAAGTACCCCACTAGAAGAAATTGCGCATTTACATTATATCAGAAGAGTTTGAAAAATACCACGTGCTCGCAAAGTATTTGCATAAAGCTGTGTGAATTATCAAACGCATTCATGAAGTTATAGTGTTTTGATTGTAATTCAATCCTTTGAGCTCCTATAAATAATAACGAATGATTTTTCCCCATATTTCGTCATTTAATTCTAATTGAAAAAAAAAGTATATTATCAAATGCAATGCTAACGAGCATTGAGAGAAAAGTATTGAAGACACATTTGAAAGATAAATGTACAAATCTTGATGAGATAACTATTAGTGCAAAAAAGTTTTTATAACAATTATAAAAGTTTCTCGGAACAATAAATGCATTTTTTGCACAAACAACCAATACCACTAACATTACAAAAGGAACTGAATGTATTTATAACTTGAACTGCTCTAGAAACAGTAGTGTGCTCATTGGATGAATGTTATCATTTCACTTGACGAATTGCATGTTATACAATGAGAAATGACCAAATCGTGTTCGATTTACATAGCATACAGTAATTATGAAATCTTGATATATGTTCGTCTTTCTATGGTATATGGAAGTTTCGTAACAGTTTTCATTCATTCGATAATGTTATACCACTTGTTAAATCTGGCATAAAGCAGATTCAAAGTAAATTTCGATGTCTTTGAGATACTAAAAGATATCCTCCGAAATCTAGAGTGATAATCGTAGAAGCACTACCTAAAAATGGACTTCAATTATACAACTGATTGAAACTTCAAGAAGATCTATGATATCTTTTATGATCACTTCTACAACAATGACAGCATCAATAAAAGTCGAACTATTTTTTAGAAGTTGTTCAAATAGTAAAGGTCATTAACGATATGTATCGTGGTTTAGCTATAGCTTGAATTGGTATTATCTCGTGATAGAAAGTATGTAACTATTTACATGAAGTTCCTATCTGATGCTAATCGAAATCGATTACAAACGATGAATAAAACTTATCAAATTATCCGGAATATTCTAATATATTTCAATATCTCAATCATAAATCCAATTTCAAGATATTGAACGATTTGAACATGTTTACGTCTGCATAAAGATAGAAATCAAATGATTTAACACTTGCTATGATTCTCTTTCAATTAATTGTTTTCTTTTTATGACATTTGTGTTACATAGAATTAAGTCTATGTGATATTCTTGATCACACTAACATAAATTATTCATAAAATTTTGTTCCGACAATTATATTTAAGCTCTTGCTTTTCAATATTATGTTATTCTTAACAAGTCTATTAAAAAGTCTTCAATTATATAGTGAAAAAGTTACTTTCTATGCTTCACTCTAGCGAGAAATGTTCTTCTCATCACATCTCTAACGCCTATAAGAGCGGCATGTGAGTTTTACTACAGAGTTACGAGAGAAGTAGCGTTTTCCAACATTAAATTATTTCTATTACATTTTACTTCCATTAATTATAAAATGAACATTTCCTACAATACATTGTTATTAATGTCGATGGTTTTCTTAGAAGATTCATCTACATCTCTCGATGTTGATTTATCCATCGAACTGCTTGAACTACTTTGATTTAATCTCTAATTTCATGAAAACTTCAAGTGGTGATATTTCATTTTGGACTTGTCTCTGTAGAATAGAGTTGACAAGCAGATGACTCTGTTCTCACGACGCCATTAGTTTTATCTGAGCCCTACGTCTGTTTCTTAGTAATTTTTTTTTGCTCTCTGATCTCTTGTCTAGTGAAGAATTGAACTTACCCAGAAATTTTCCAATCTATATCATAAGAACATATATAAGTATTGATATAATGAAAACAAAGACTATACCCTCAAGAATTAGTAGAAATTACTGAAACTTCTTGATGATTTCCGAAAATTGCAATCTGTATGATATTTCTGTTGTAGTAATTTCTGAAATTTGCTAGTTTATGAAGGTGATTTAGTTTTTCGGAAGTTTTAACACTGCTGATGAATAAAAGTACGAGTTGTGATTGCTTCTTTCTAATTTTATCAATCAGACATTCTGTGCCATACAATTTAAAACTTTCCAAATTGTACATGAATCTGAATTTTAAGATGGAGAAATTTGTTGGTGATTCAAGTAATTGAGAAACGGAGAGAAAAAAACTCCGTAATTTTGAATTAGTCAATGTGTTTACTTAAAATAACTTATCAATTCGAAAACTCTTCTTCCTCTGAATCATACAGGTAAAACAAACTACTGACATATTGGCTGTAAGCTGGAAAAGTTTTGTTTCCAATCTAAAAAAATAAAGAGAAAAGTATAAATCTAGAAGAGATTTGTCCTGCTAACCATTTTCTCATGTAATTAATTTTTTATTCGATTATTTTTTTTATTATGTCTGATTTACACTCGTCATCATCTTTCGTCGACTATGTACTGCAAATGGGTTTTCCATTTTTAGCTCTTCAACTTGCATATCAAGCTACAAAGTCGCACGATTCAAACATCTTACTCGAATACATTTTGACACACGAAAATGAAATTCATAGAAAAAATACTAACGAACCTAATGCAATATATCTCGTGAACCCAGTTGTTCAAAAATTAGCCGAACTTGGCTTTTGCAAAAGCTCGGTTGAATTAGCACAAAGAAAAACTAAATCCAACGATTTACAGGTCTTAATTGAATCGATATTACGTCATGATTCACCAGAAGAACATATATCAGCCATATTATCACCTCAAATTACTACTAATCAAGTGATAATGACAACCAAAGAACAAGAATTACATAAGAAAATCGATAATACCTTATTAAATGATCTTTTAAAACTTGATTTTGATGTAAATGACATTGAAAATTGTTTTATTGATTTAAACGTCAATACAACAACAAAAATTAATACAAAAACTAAACGAATTGAAGAGTAGTGTCACATATCCAAGATTTTGGAGATGCCACCGCATCTCCCACGGGAGATGCCGCATCTCCAGCGGGAGACGCGGCACCCACACTCGGGAGATGAGGTCATTCACCACTGGAGATGTAAGATCTCCTTTAGAGAGACGCATCCCCCACACCCACACTCGCATCTCTCGCGCGAGATGCGGCATCTCCCGCAGGAGATGTGGTGGCATCTCCAAAATCTTGGATATGTGACACTGCTG